TAATAGGGGTACCAGAAGGAGAAAAAGAGGAGGAAGGGATAGAGAACCTGTTTGAAAAAGTAATGATGGAAAACTTCCCTCATTGGAGGGGAGAAAAAGTCACACAAGTCCAGGCAGCACAGAGGGTCCCATTCAAGAGGAACTCAATGAGGCCCACTTCAAGACACATCACTATTAAAATGGCAAATATTGAGGACAGAGATAATCCTAAAGGCAGCGAGGGAGAAACAGGTAGTAACATACAAGTGAGCCTCAATACTCCCAGGAGCTGACTTTTCAACAGAAACACTACAAGCCAGAAGGGAATGGCAAGAAACACTCCAAGTAATGAAAAGCAAAGGCCCGCAACCGAGACTGCTCTACCCAGCAAGGCCATCAATTCAAATGGAAGGCAAAATAAGGAGTTTCCCAGACAAAAGGCGGCTAAAAAATATACCTCCACCAAACCAGCATTGCAAAATATGCTAAAGGGACTGCTTTAAGAGGATGGGAGTAAAAGAGTCTATGAATACCCAGTTCCTTTCAGTCACCAATACTTGATATTACAAATATTTTTAATACTTATTAATCTGATTGTGACAATGGTGTATTTTGTTACTTTGTTAAAACTAAACCTGTTTTTGTATATTTCTTGCATATTTCTATTTTAAAAAGCTTTAAATGACTTTTTGGTATCCTTTATCCATTTTTTGATTAAATGTTTGTAGAATTTTTTCCCTAAAAAAATAAACCAAAGAAGCTATTAATCTTTTTTTAAATGTGTTGCAAATACTTTTTCTATTACTTGTCCTTTAACTTTTTTATATGTATATTACTATATAGTCTTAAATGTTTAATATAGTCATATTGTCAATATTTTACTTTATAGCTTCTGGGTTTGAATATTTTACTTCAGGGTAAGAATAATATTATTTTGTATTTTCTCCTAAAACTCCTTAGATTTTACATATTGATTTTTAACTCATCTGAATATTTTTTATATAATGTGTGAAATAGGGCTTTATATTTGTTTTATATTAAGGAATAGTTGTCCATGCACCTTATTTGTTGAATAAGCCTTATTTTCCCCATTCATTTGAAATGTCAACTTAATCATATATTACATTGTTACACAGATATATATGTTTGTTTCTAGAATGCTCATTTTATTTCCGTGCTCTACTTGATTATTTCTGTGCTGGTGTCATATTGTTTTAATTGCTGAGACTTTATAATGAATTTACATTTTTTAACACTTTATAATGGATTTTGACATTTAAAAAATGAATAAATAAAATCAACCTGTATTTATAAAAAAAGAAAGAAGGAACTCCTACCTTTTGCAGCAACATGGATGTAACTGGAGAATATTGTGCTAAGTGAAATAAGCCTTTTGGTGAAAGACAAATACCATATGATCTCACCTATAAGTGAATCTATTCAACAAAGTAAACTAACGAACAAAATAAACCACAGGCACGGAAACATGGAGCAGACTGAAAGTGACCAGAGGGGATGGGGAAGGAGGACAATGGTGGAAAGAAGGGGAAGGGAAAAGAGCATGTATGAATGACCCATGGACATGGACAACAGAGTGGGAATTGACTGAGGGAGCTGGGTGGGATGGGTGGAGGAGGGCAAAGGAGGAAAAATGGAGGCAACTGTAATAGAATAAACATGATTTAAAACTAAAAAATTTTTGAAAATTATGAACGTCCTGTAGATTAAGAGGACTCAAAAATGTCCACTCTTCCTGCCCAAACTCTAGCCCCCATTCTGACAGCTAACATGAAGTTTCCCCTCTTCAGTGCCACCATCCCTTCCCTTTTCTTCTTTTCCATTGCCTCTTCCCCTCCTGCCCTTCCTGAATAAATCCTGCCTGCCCCAGCCCCATTACTCTCCCAGAATTGAAGCAACTTTATAAGCAATCTTTGAGCATATCTTTTGTAACTTTTTTTTGGACCTGTTTCTTGTTCTCCTTAATATCACATTCAAAACTCTCTACACTAACACAATGCCAATCTGTGATCTTTCCCCACAACATGGTCAAGTCTCTGCTCATATATCCATTTCTGAGCTGCAACAGCCTCCTCTCCACCTGGCCTGGCACTCTGCAAAGGGAGTCCTGGGCTGCACAGCATCATACAATGCTGTTTGTGACTAATTTAGTCTCCTCAACCAATCCAGTCCTCCTCCCAGATTATTTTATATAGCAATTTGCTTGTTATAATCTTACTATACTCTGCTTATCTAATTGGTCTTAAACTTTCCTTGTGAATTACCTTTTCCTGAAATAATTTAACTTGGTATATGAATACTACGTAAATGCAATAATGTCATATTAAAAAAACTTACTGCTTATTGAAATTAAGGAAAAATTAAGCATCTAAAATTAATTGCTATAATATCACATTACTGTCAAAAAAATATCATGAGTTATTTGGGATCCCATCCAGACACACATTTTAACTTATTTGAACCATATAAGAAAAATGACAATATGCTTTACTTTAGTGTAAAAATCAATTTATTGTACAACAATCATACAGAATGCTTTTTCTCATTCTACCAAGAAAAATGGCTTCTTCTGCCCCCCTGGCCACTCCAATCATTATACTATGTTCTTAAGATGTAAGTACTTTCAAAAGAAAACCCACAGAGTGATTTCTTATTTCCCAAAAATGGAAGCTCCCAGAAACATCATAAAGTGATATGGGAATATTAGAAAGAACCAGAATGGTCTCTTACACACAAAGTGCTGTTCTGCCCATCATAGTATATGCCATTTTGCCTTAAAACAGAAATAAGAAATATCCTTCTCGTGGGAATGGGAAGGACTTTATCCCCCAATATGCCTAAATAGTTCAATATATAATTTTAAAGGATTGAAAATTTCTGTTTAATTATATTAAGTAAATGTTTTGTTCTGTTAGTTAAAAATATGGAGAACAGATATGTTGTGGTATTCATTTACCTGTTTTCATTTTCCTATGAGTAAGAGAAAACTTATTTGGGAAAACTCACTGTCTATTTTTTTAACAGATAATACAGATTTTTTAAAAATAGTTTTGTTTTAGGAAAGTCACATTAAAAGTAAACATTGTGTTTCTTAAAAGTTGTAACACTTAATACCAGGTTAAAATATTTACCTGATTCAATTTTTGTGGCTAAGATTTTATAGGTCTGTGCAATTTAATTGGCCCTTGAATGGTTTAAGGCTACACATGTTTTATTAAGCTTTTCTAGAATTAAAGACCAATTGGAAATAAGCATCCTGAAACCTCTAATTATACTGAGTTTCAAAGTGTAAATAAACTACCCAAATTTTCCCCTTTGATCTGAGAGGTTCCAAGCTGCACCACACTTAGATCTCCTTGGCTTTGTCATTCTGTTGAAGAATGGCTGCCCTCCTTGCTCTGCAGACATGAAGCCCATGAGAGCCTCCTGCACTGCAGGTATGATGAGGAGCAGTGAGACTTTAGGGCCTCATTCACAATTAAGAATAAGCTGAATACAGTGAGTGACCAGTGATATCTATCTTCTCTCTGAATCTCAATTTTACTGGGAATGTTCTTTAAGAATAGATTTTAGCACGTTTGATACCTAAAATTGAACTAGAGTCCAGCTACTCCATGGGCTTTTTCCTTAGTCTAACTTGTGTTTGTTATAGAGCAGCAATAACAGTCATACTTGAAGCCAGCCCTTATTTTAAAATGAGTTTTGGGGAGAGAATAAATATTATAATGATACAGTTATAATGTGATGAAAGTGGGGATTAAGCACCCTAGAGAAAGACAGTTTTAGAAAACATTTAGGAAAATAAATCCAAGGGTAAGTGGTATTAGGTAGAGATGGTTGTACAATAGAAATTGATCAACAAGTAGAGAGGGGAATGTTACAGGGCCCAACACTTTCACCAGGAAGACTAGTCTGAAATCAGTCACCTTTCAAAAGGTGGGCTAGAATCCTGAGTGGGTAGTTTACATGGAAGAGAAGATAAAAAAGTCGGTACGATGTCAGTGTACAGTATCAGTACAAAAGTCAGTGTTTTTATTTTTTAAATGGAAAAATAATTTAAAAACTAGAGTTCAGGGGGGAAAAAGCATAAAAGGACAGAAAGGCACTCCCAAACTGACTGGAATGTGTTGGGACAATGGCGGCCATGCCTTTCCGACACTTAAGCATTTGATGTCAACATTATGATCTAAAATGTTTAAAAAGAGGGTATAGGGGACAAATAATACTTTTATAGGGTATAAATCAGCATCAAATCTTCAGAAAATATGGTTTCCATTCTTGGTAAAATGTAATAGTAACTGTCCCACATGTAGAGGAGAAAGGAAATATCCATTGACTTCCTGTGCTTTTATGCTTGTCTCGGCACAGACTGTATTACCTGAGCCAGAAAAAGACATGCTGAGCTTGCCACATCGGCACTTTTCATTGTGGCTCATTATCAGCTGATGGCTGGGTATTGAAATCTTTCTATAGCCCTCTGATTTTTAGTTCCTATTTTCAAAAACTTAACCTACCAGTCTTCAAAGACTGGTAGCAGATTGGTTCACAATAAATAGTTGACAAATTCAATGTCACTTTGTCCCCAATTGCTCTGTTAATTCTGAATTAGGAATGTTCCAGTGGCATGTCATTCCAATGAAAAGGGCAGACTGGACTCAAGTGCTTGTTCAGAAAGAAATGGGCAGCCAGGCTTAGTTAGATCCTGCTTTTTAAATAGAGCACTATGTCTATCTAACCTAGGACAACTTAACATGAGAGGTAGAAATGAATAATTAAAACTGCGGAACAACTATTCAAAGCCCCTGAGCTATGAGGGTTTGGCAGATTTTTTTTTTCTTTTTAGAAAAACTAACATTCAAAATTTTAAAAATATACGAGTTTCATTATCATATCACTATGTTGAAAATTAGGAGTGGTTGTGGGAATTTGACAGACACACAGCTTAAGAGAGAGGAAGTTTTGCTAGATTTTCCATTTATGATCCCGTTTTAGTATCTTCTGGGGTTGATTCCTAAAGGAGCAGAGGGACTAATTACTTTATGCACTGACAATTATTGCTTAATATAGATTACAACATACCCTGTATTTAGGAGATAAGTAACATTTTTTTTTAAACATTTCCATGTGAACAAAACTCTTTAACTTTTAATTTGAAGATTTGCCTTGAAAAACAATGCTCCATGTTTCCTGGCTTTGTGTGTGGATAAGGCATTATGAAGACAGTTTCTGGTGAGGTGTTAAGTCTGGGAGGAGGAGGGAGAGAGAATGTTGCACCAGTTCTGAGGTCTACAGAGCTCAGCCTCACCTCAATGCTGACAGAAGTACTCATTTAACAGATTAACCTAATACAAAGATACTAATACATTCTCGGTACAAATGATTTATAAACTCCAACGAAATTAGTTTATGCTAAAACATATATAACTTTCAATTCAATCATTGCCTTAAAAGCAAGTGAATCTGTTAGGTTATTATATATGCTTTGTCTGTTACTTGATGTTTATTGTGCTTTCTTGTTTATTATTCCATTAGTTGCAGTGAAGTAGGTTTTGGAAAACCCATTCTTAACTTCTTTTCCTGTTGGTGACTCTTCCATCTCTTTTTTCATTGGCTTTTTTCGATATGTCTGTTGGATATGTACATTTGGAAGAGAAAAAGAAAAAAAGGATTCTTTAATAAGACCTTGTCTCTAAAGTGGCAGATAGTCTAGAACAGTGCATGATTTTCTTTGGTACTGGGCTTTCTAATAAGAATTCTTATTTTTAATATCACAATTTTTAAGCTTCTGGTTAAAATGCAAATAGGGTGAAAAGAGGGCATATGTATGATATCTAATGAAAGAAACAACATTCACTTTATCAGCATAGTATTTATGCATTATGGATTAGTATTTAATTTATTTTGCATTGGTTGCTTACTTGGAAAAGATTTTTTAAAGTTTTTTTTCAATAGACATATAATTGACATATATTAGTTTAAGATGTACAACATAATGATTCAATATTTGTCTTTACTGTGGCAATGTCACCACAAATAGTCTAGTTAACATTCATCACCACACAGACTTTTTTCTTGTGATGAGAACTTTTAAGATCTACTGTCTTAGCAATTTGCAAATATACAATACAGTATTAACTATAGTCCCCATGCCGTACATCACAGCCCCATAACCTATTTAAGGACATATTCTTTAAAAATACAGTCAAGGGAAAAAGTGCTGTCTGTTGCTTTAAAAATACAACTACCTGGGACTTTGGCTTGATTTGAGTTTTGGCATATATATCTTTGCTGTTCTGACAAGATACCTGATCTCATCTCATTTTTATGGGTTAAGACTAAAAGAATATACTCAGCTTTAAAAGACTAAGATTCAATTTAACCTACAAGCAGATTTAAAGCTTTGAGTGCCACTGCAAACCCTGTCTGGGCCATCCATCTACTTCTCTTCAAGTTTCAACACCCTAATGACTCCCTTCGCTTTCCTTTAATAGTCAGCTTTTTACATTTTTTTTTTATTTTTGTGGCTTTGTTTGATTCTATCAGTGGTATTTCTTTAGAAATTCTGAAACTTTTATCTCTTATAACAGACAAAGCCTAGCCAGTCCAATTTCAGAAACAAAAGAACTGAAAAGCTGTCAAAAGTTCCATTCCCACAGCTGTTGTAGTTGTGAAAACTACTATGGGTTGACTATTAGCAAATGCAAACTAAAAAATCAGAAGGCACTTGTTTGTGTGAAGAAGAAAATATAGTTGAATACAATTTCAAAAGTACTGTTTTTAATATAAATGTACATTCTCATTTTTTTCATGAAGTTTGCTATTTCTCTGGCCCACAAAAGAGAGCAATTTAAATCTACAAACACCTGAGGCCTGTGCTGTTACCACTTTCATCAGTTCTTGTATAACAGAGTTGCTTTGCAATTGCATTCTGAAGCTCCCCTCCTTTTAAATTGTTAAAAAGAAAATGACAATCAAGAAAAAGTCAATGTGAACTTTGCACATTGCTTTGTTTTAAAATAAAATTTTTCCCCAAATAAACAGTCTACAACATCTCAGTAGCTGATACGGAAATAGTTTTTTAATATTCGATCCATTAAGCCTATGTTTTTCTCCATGTGTTACCAGTCTATCCAGAGTACCAGGGAAGTCTCTGCCCCATTGGCCAGGACGGTGGCAGGTTCTTACACTGAGCATGAAAGGATAGTAAGGTAACTGAATAGAGGAAAAAGTCCTCTTCCCCCTCTTCCGCTACCAGACTTGGGGTGGGACCAGGGGAAGGCAGACACATGCTTCACAGAAGTCAAAATGGCACAGGCGGAAGTTCTGAACCAAAGAACCCTTTCAGTCTAGCCTGGAAAAAGAAGGGATTGGTTGGGAGAGGGACCCACCCAAAGCATGTGAAAATTTGGGAAGTTCATTGGGTTTGTTTTTGAGAAAGCACTTGGTCCATCCCACACCCACGCTAATATAATCCCAGGGGAACGAGGAAACACATTCTCTCTCTCCATCTGGACTCACACAGTGTACTCACCTCTTCTCTCGATGGGCCACCTTGCTACTAAGGCCCTTGGCCTCCTGGAGGGAGCCTCTCTCACTCTCTCTTGCGGCCCTGGTGATGCACTTGTTGGTGCATTTGCTCCCTCTCCTCTGGGAGCACATGACCTTGCTGCCCTAGCAACCGCATGTCCCTTGGCTGTATGGGCTCCACACGCAGGCTCCAAGAGGAAGCCTGAAATGAACTGCAGCTGGGAAAAAACTATGCTACCTGGATGTGGACTATGACCACTTAGTAGCCACCTGTTAGCTTCAAAGGACTGTACTTTAAAATGGAACAGGAACTCTGGACAAAGCCTTTTTTCTTGGTTTTGAGGAATAGTTGGGCTTTTAGAGAGGAGTCTGCCATTCTCCCAGATCATACAGCACCCGAATAAAACCCCTGTCCTTTTACAATAGCATCTCCCTCACAAGTTTGGCTTTTGTGGCAACATGCAGCTGAACCTCCACTTTTTCTGTTACTTTCAGACTTTAGAAGCATAGTGCAAATATATGACACAAATGCATAATACCTTTGATAAAACTTTATATGTATTCATCAAAAAATGTCTAACAGAATGCCCACTAGACTAGCAGTGGTTATCCTTTGAGAAGGACCTCCTTTGTTAGGAGAGGAGTTTGGAATGCAAGATTTATTTTTCGTTTGCACGTCTGTTATTTAAATTTATCAACAAGCATGTGCTACTATGACATTTGATTGGTAAAATTAAACAAATATATAATACAAAAGTGCATGTCCTTTTATGTTTTACCACTGAATATTTAAATTTAACTTACCTGGAAATAAAAATTTAAGAACAGGATGACTAATGTAAGCATGTACGAAGACTGGAAGATGAGACACCCAAAGGGGAAGCCACACGGCTTCACAACAGCACTCATGGTGTGGGTGATGGTCAGCACGAACTGCACCTGGGAGGGTGGGAGAAGGGGCACCATGGTGAGGGAACCAGGCTGAGCCATATGAAAACCACTGTGAAGTTTTATACTTTCAGAAATCAACTACTCTTATTCCCTGAATTTTGCAAGAATAAAAAAAAACAAAAAAAAAAAAAACAAGGAGAGCAGCTCACTATCTTATCCAGAAATTTTATTTGAAGTTACATTACTCAGTAATTATAATTGCTCATTTAATTGCTCATTAATTTTCTCATGGAAAAGTAACAATTGAAATGATTCGAATAAAAGTGATTTAACATCAACATTGATTTTAAAGCATTCACCTACATTTCAAAGCAAGGAATGAGTTAATTGCATGCACAAAGGATGTGTAAACACACAAGGTTTCATCCCTAAAAGGTCATCCTTAAAGAAAATATGCAGTTTCATCACGTATGGAAAAGCCTCTGACTTATAAGAAGTCTGGGATTCCTATTACCTTTCCCCACCCATGAGAATATTTAGAAGCTTCACATGGAGAAGAGCTGAAAGGAGGGAGGACATACCAGTTGAGCCTGTGTGAGGTATTTCTTCCACCAAAGATACTTGTGCATCGATGGAAACACAGACAGTCCATAGTAGGAATACATAAGAATGTGGATGAAACTGTTCAGAGTGGGTCCAAAGAAACCTACAAAAGTACCACATAATTACTGCTCTTCTAGAAAGTAAGGCTGTCCATTTCTTTTTTTAAGTGAGATCCTTTCTGTTCATCATAAAGATGAATAACAAATATGGCACTAACAATTCACACTGATAAACTCACCCTGATTTTTGTGCCATTACTCCAGGATTCAGCAAAAGTCACTGAGCTAGGACTAAACTGAATAGTGCTTCAGAGTGCCAACCAAACGGGTAATTCCTGATTTGCAAAGGTTTTACTGCCCCTTGGCCTCATTACCGTGAGTTAATTGGGGAAATACAATGTTACCTTAAACCAATGGCAGAATTTCTTTAAGAGAGAAGTGTCTTTGATTTAGCTAAGCCTTTGATGAGCTCATTTGATTGTAGGAAGAGAGCCTTTAGTATGTAGCTGAAGAGGGTGCTCAACAGTAAAGGTAAACATGCTGCTTTTCATAATTAAGTACATAAAACCTATCTGAAATGGAGTAGGAACCAGGCAATTCTGGTGGAAGGCAAGATCATATGGAGGAGTGAAAAGGCCAGCAGGATAAGAAAAGGCTGGGACTGAAGAGACATTGGCCCGTGAGACCTTACCAGTAGCTGGGCCATCCCATGGACTCACAAGACAAAGGTTATCTAAAATCCAGTTTTACTATATTTGCTGTGATAAGCTGTGCTGAAACCTTCCCCAACCCTGCCTTCATCTTCATGAAATCTTTCTAAAGTGCCACCAGCTTGGGTGAACAGCATTTCATGACACCAAGGAGAAAGAACTATGCTCTATGTTCTAAGGTTTAAAAAGATATAACTGCAATAGTAAGACATCAGAGGAAGATTATTTGTTGGAAACGAAACACATTGTGAGGATTAAATCAACTGATATGTGTAAAGTGCTTATTAGTGTGCACTTTGTGCTGGGTACTGTTCCATGAGTTAACTTGGGATTCAGGGGGCTGGTCTACGAGCCATCAATCCTGTGGTAAGAGAGACTGGGGACCTGGATATGTTACTTTGACTTTGTAAATTTTTATTTTCCTCACCTGGAAAATTGGTATAATAATAATTACCTCTTAAGGTTGTGGTTGGATTGAGATAATAAATGCTATATAAACTAAAACGCACTGAACATGTGTTGGTTAATTAATCTATTTAAATTCTCCAGCCTGGTTTCCCAATCCTGGGTTAGAGATCTGGATAAATGCAATCTAATGAATAAGGAACAAAAGGAGTAACACTATGCATGTAGTAAGTCCTTAAGAAATGCTGGCTGGAATAACCTGTTAAGGAACCAGAATTTATATAAAAACACAAATATAGTTTCAGAGCACCAGGAAGCACAATATTAGTGATATTTTTTTTTTACCCACCTGAGTTTTCATTTCCATCAATTAGTTAAAAATAAGTAGTTTCAGCTTATAATTTTAATAATATTCCAGATTGAATAGAAACTGTCACAGTGTATTTTATTCATAGGAAATCTATGTCTTCACACAGTGATTATTTGAGACTGACTTTTATATGCTTGATGATTTGTAATGAAACTGTTGACAATAAAAATACTTAACCTCGATATTTTCTTTTGGTGTTGATTATAGTATAAGCCTCTTATAGTCTTAATAACTAAACTCGAGAAACTAGACTCTGTCAGGCTAGGAGAGGTGTGAAAAGCACCTCTTTCTGCCCACTGCAATCCCAGCAATTTCTTTCTTTATACTGTAGTGTAAGTTTGCATCTTCACAGTCACTGATATATTCCAAATATCCTTGGTGTTTTAAAAAAATCTCATCTCTGCAAGATCCTAAATCCTAGAGCAAAACCATTTTGACTTGAGTTTTACCTGATCTGATTTTTCATAGGATATTTTTTAATTCTTGTGTATAAGGCAATATTGGATAGAAGTACTGTTCTCTCTTGCTCAGGGTTTCTCCAACTGCGGGTCATAAAGGACACATTACTAAATCAACACAGTGAGAATTGTCATCAGTTTTTTGAAAAAGTGAAATAGAATTTGAAAAAAATATATACAGAGCCAGGCTAAATTTTTGTTTAATTCAAAATATATACACATGAATGAATGGGTTGTGATGTGAAACATACTGTAGTTCTTAATTTAAAAAAAAAGCCAGTACTCTGATAGGTCAGCAATGTGGCTTTAATTGTTCAGAATGGAAAAACAAGCCCTAAAATCTGAAATGACTGAAGCTATACCACAGCCGAACGGTGATTATGGAAGGTGCTATACTTGTTTGGTTAGCCCAAGTACTGGAGTAAAACTCTTCCAACTAGGACAGGTGCTCCTGGCCACTGGGCATTTGGTAAATGGTAAGGAAAATATTTTTAAAATTTAAGGAAATACCCAGATTTTGCCAGTATCAAAGACCAGAAAACTATGACCCCTGGCAAACATGTGCTTCCCTGCATGACAAAGCAGGCTGTGCTATGCCTTGGCCTTTCTTCCCTCTCTCCTGATCTGCATGCAATACTCAACACAAAAGACACAACAGATGTCTTTCAAGGTCCATCATACAGAATAAAAAATGAACAAAATAACTTACTTTGCCCACAAGGTATCCAGTTCAAAACACACCACCAGATGTTAAACATTGAGGCATGATGATATACATGAAGAAAAGTAATCTGACTGGTTTTTTTCCGCAAGACAAAGAAAATTGTGTCCAGGAACTCTATTAATTTGGAGAAGTAGTACCACCATAACACCTTGGCTACCTGTAAAAATTTTGAAAGGGAAAAAATAAAAGTTTAGCAATAAAAATTCCCCTGGTGCTGCCCTCCCTCTCAGCGTTCTGTGTGTTCTGTGCTTTACTGGTGTGCATTTCTCCCAAACTATTGAAAAAGCATCTACCTGGCATCTTTGCCTCCAGTTTTTCCTTATTCCCAGCAATCCAACCTAGTCTGGTATTATCTTTCCAAACTACATGTCTGATCAAGTTACTCCCCTACACCTACAGAACCAATTCGTATTCCTCTTAAAAACCACCTTTTCTCTGGAACGCTACCTCTTTTCTTTTCTCAGGCTGAGTCAACCACTTCTTCATTTATATTCCCAAATTACTTTATGCCTCTATTTTAATAACCACAATAAAGCGTAGTTAGTGTTATGAATCTATCTTTTCTAACAGAGCAAAAATCACTCAAAGGCAGGTACTGGCTGTCTCACCTTTGTTTAGGGCCTGGCACTCAACGGGTCACTGCTGTCTGTCACCCTAGATTTAATTTTTTTATCTATTCTTCTAATGTACATGTTTTATCTCTTAAAATTATACTACCGAAGAGCAGTCTATGACTACTTTTTTCATGTCTCTTCCTTGGAAGATTAAAAATCCAGATGCTCTTCTTCCTCAATGACAGTAATATGTCATGATTACCACTTCCTTTCCCGCCTGAGTCCCCTAGCACTAACACACATAAACATAAGAGGACACTATAAAACAGAAACTTTGAGATTAGGATACATGCTCTACAGTCTGCTTCTCAAGATAAGGTGTGGTGGCTTCCATCTTAACGCTTGAGGTAACAATAAACCTTCAAAAACATTAAGCCAAAAAATATCAAACCACAAATGCATACAATACATATGACCTCTAGAGAACTGTATGGCATCCCAAAGTGCGCTGGTCTATGATAATACTCAGTTGGCCAAAAAGTCTGTATAATTATTTCTGTAAAATAAAAAACACATTTTTCATTTTCACCAATAACTTTATTGATTTGGATATTTTGAGTATGCCAGCTATCTCCTGCACGGTATAACATTGATTGCTCTGAATTAATGTCTCAGTTTGATTGCTATCAACTTCAAATGGTCTACCCAATTATGCAGCATCATCTAGCAAGCAGTCTCCAGCATGACACTTCGCAAACCACTTTTGACATGTTTAATCAGTCACAGCACCTTCTTTATACACTGTACAAATCTTTTTCTTCCTGCGTTTCAGTTGCATTTTTACCTTTCTTGAAATGTTAAGCATAATGTGCTGAATATGTTGCATATTTTCTTATCTTCAATATTAATATTGCTACAAAAATATTCACCAATTTTGATAAGTCTTTAAAAAATGCACACTGATAAGACGGCTGCCACAATATAATCTAACGAAGTTGTTTTGAATGAAGTTAAAGACAACTAAACGTCACTAGAGCCTTCTTATGGAAAAAACCAAATGAACTTTTTGGCCAACCCAATATATTAGAAATAAAGTGGGTGTACAGAAATTTATATATCTTACTTTTTTGTATTATAGTTTCGAAGATGCTTTAAAAATGTTCATGTTAAAGATTTTAATTAAAAGGTTTTCTACCATCTCCCTTATTAATAACTCATGTTTTTTATTGTGGAAACTTTCAGTCACGAATGCAGGGAAAACAATTACAATGAAACTTTTGGTATTTATCACTGAATTTCAAAATTTTCAATATGATTTCAAATTTTTTTAATCAATTCTATTTCCCACCACTTCTTTTTGGCGGGGTGGGGTAGGGGGAATGTAACATATGAGCAAATCCAAAGTATTTTATCTATAAAAACTACTAATAAGGAGGGGTTTTTTGTTTTAACATAACCATCATGACAATATCTAATAAAATTAACAGTTACTATCTTCTAATAGCCTAGTTGATGTTCAAATCTATCTCAAAAATGTCCTTCTGTAATTTGTTTAAATCAGGATCCAAACAAACTCCAGCTTGCATTTCTCTGATATGGTTCTTAAGTCTCCTCTAATCAATAACCCTCTCTCTCATTGCTCCCCCCTTTTCTTTCATGTCTTTTATTCTTAAAAGAGCTAGATCAGTTTTTTCATAGAATTCTAAAATTATTAATATTATGGATTTTGATTAATATTATGGATTTGTTTTATCCTAGTGTTATTTAACTTGTTTCTCTATCCCCCACCTTTTTGTAAGCACTTAGACTTACAGAATTGATTGGATTCAGGTTTAAGGTTTTGGGCAAGACTTCATAGGTGGTTCTATGTACTTCCTATCATATCTCAGTAAGAGGGACATAATTTCCCTTCATTCCTCCTTTCCTCCTTCTTTAATTTTTTTTCTCCTTTTGCTTTCCTTCCCTTCCCTTTCTCCCTCCTTCCTTTTGTCTGAGCTTATTTATTATTCTTAGAAAATCTCATTTTTGAGTGCATTCAGACTTAGAGGTAGAAGCTCTCAGAGAGGGCAGCTTATGTCTCTTGGCAACCTGTTCCTAGAGTTTTTATTTGGCCCCCTTCATTTTCTTAGCCAAAAGTTTAGTGTATTCTGCAGCCTCTTCATTATTTTTCTTAGTACATTGTTTCTTCAGAGCAGTATGCCAACGTCTATGTTGCAGGACATGTGGAGTAACAAGATGCTGAATCTTAGGTGCTTTCGTGCTAGGTTTGTTTCTTGCCTCCTTTGTTTATGGGCTTTCTCACAACATTTTTGTGAACATCATCTTCTTTAGAGAGACTGAAAAGTTTGCAGATGCTGCTAGCTCTTTTGAGTCCCAGGCACTGACAGTACTATCAGTAAGACCAGGAATATCTTCCTGGGTCATTTTTCACAATGACTAAATTGAAAACCACTCAGATTGGTGTCCACAATTCAACCCTGCAGAAATGTGTGCTTGCTTTCTCCAGAGCTCCTTAGTCTACAACAGGAATGCCCCTTACTCAGTAGCCAGCAAATATGGCCAATGTTCAAGAAATCTTGCTTCATGGGGCAGCCTCGTCATTCCCATCACTGATTCGAACCATATAATCATTCCATTCTTCTCTCAGAATGTCAGCAGCAACTTATGTGGCCATATACTTCCCATAAAAGGTGCAGTTTGTGGCTGGGAAAGAGGTTCAGCTTCATCCTGAAGCAGCTAACCACTGCTGAGATTCCATGAAAAGGAGGAGCATAATTTCTGATATTCAGTGAGTTCAGGTGTTAACAACCTAATCCAATCATTATGAAGCTTCCATTCAACTTTCATCCAACAGTTTTATCATTTCCAGATCACTGCTGTCTAGATCCATAACTTCACTAGGAGTTGCAAAATGGTAATTTTAATCCTCTAGTTACTTACACCTTTTTTTCCTTCTATAGAGAAGAACTCTTCCTCTTTGTTTGGAGATTCACATATGAAAGTCAAGAAAACATTTTATTCCTTCCCTTTAATTTTTTTTTCTACAATGAGCTGGTGTCCTACCAACCTTCAAAAAACTGAAGGTTGTGGCATTTTAAACTTATGGTTTTAAAAATAAATTTAATATGTTTCAATTCACCAGCCAGTATTCTTTTTGATACTCAATTGTCCCATAGTTAGCAGTGGGAGTCCTTTCAAGGTGGCTCCTGTGTCTTCGTGTCGAGACTCTAGCAGTCTTGGATATTTCCTTTGCTTTCTGTCACAGAAGATCCTGGATTCCTGTATACTTTTCCCACCCAAACCAAAAATTGCCCAATTCTCTAAGAACCCTATTCCTTCTGGTGGAAAATTACAGTATTGAGAGAACAATCTGGGGATTCATTGCTCATTGTATTGGGTTATCACAGACTAACTAGGCCTTTTCTGTACAGATAGCTAAAAACATGTTTGTTTTAGAAAGAATAAAGTTTGTTCTAATATTTCCAGTTTGAATCTATGATTTCATTTAACTTTTAATTGATATCTCCTTTCTTTTATGTTTAAATATTAGTTGTAAGATATTAACATTACTATATACTTACTTTATCCTACATTGTACCTATAACAATACCCATACTGTTATAGCAATATCCACATTTTTATTAATAGCAAACAAAAATTATTGAATACTGTTAAGATATATCTCACTAGGGATGTCTAGTCAAAACACTATGTTTTAATGTTACTTGAAATAATTCTTTGGGTGGCTGTGTTACCAACAACATACGGGTATATTCATTTAGTTTATTTCCAAGTTTTTTGGGGGGAATCTACCTTGCTTTCTTTTTAGATTTGATTTTGTTTTATAATTATGTAAAACACTTAAGGGTTCCAAAGTCAAATGTAATACAGTGTACGTTCAGAGATGTCTAGCTTCTATCCTGTCTCCTCTGCCCTGTTCCCTACCCTAAATGGAAACCACTTTGTTAGCTTTTGGGTTATTCTACCATTGTTTCTTTTTTTAAAAAAAACATAAATGATACACACATACATTCATATAATTTCTTGCACAAAAGGTACTATACATAAACATGGGTTATACAGATTGCTTTCTTTTCACTCATACATATCCTGAAGATGATTCTGTCACAGTTACAGAGATCTCCCCCATTCCTTTTGGAAAGGGATCCATCACATGGATGTACCGTGGTTTATTCAGTCTTCTGTAGCTGCACATTTGGAAAACACTTTTGTTATCAAACATTTCTATTAGAATAGGAGTTCCTTTCTTATCTAATCCTATCCCCCCATCCTCTTATCTACCAGGAGAAAGCCTTCCTTCTTCTCAATGAGAAATGGTTACAGGAGACTGACTTGCTTCTTCCCATGACTCACCCGGATATCGGCTTCCCCTGCACTGGCAAGATCCTGACATTGTAAGTTGTAACCTCCTTCCCAACTGGAGAGAATAAGCTGCCAAAGAAACAAGAAAGGTGGAGGGATCAACACAAGGATTTGGATCAAAGCAATTTCCCATTAATGTTTCTAGTTGGCATCTATTCCAGGCTGGAGCAGAAACATCCCGTAATTTGACTCTAATTCGATTCTGTGCTCAAACACTTATTAGCAAAGGGTTTAATTCTTGTTGTGAACTGATATCAATGGTTATATTCCTTAGTTAATGTAATTTACTTCTAACATTTTTTTATTTTTAAGTTAAATCTAAAATGAAACAGAATTTAGCTATCATTTGAATAACAAAATATTTTGTGTAAGGAGTTACTTAGTCCTATGTTTCCACAAGTAAAATGTAGAATTAAATGTAAACAAATGTGAAGAAACTACACTAAAATTTTAATAGTACTCTATATTGGCTTATACCTAAATATCCTAGTTGATCATTTCAATAACTTTAAGTACGTAGTTATCATTTTACAGATACAAAAGTCAGTACCACAAAGGTACTTATGTCATTTCTCCATTAATTTATGCGATGTGCTGATCAACCATTTGTGTGATTATAACTGATTAATGACTACATTCCCCTTGCTCAAAAAACAAAAATATGCATAAAATGTAGGCCCTTTTTGTTCGCCTTTGGATCTACAGTTCCCTGCTCAATGCCTAGAACATAAGCACTCAGTAAATATATAAGTAAATAATTTCTTCAAAATTACATGGATTGAAAGTAGTAGAACAATGGTTAGAATTCAGACCTTTTAATTCTTTATCTAGTATTCTTTCCACAAAATGAGCTTTTTAATTCTTTGTGGAAATGTCTACAAAAGAGGTTTTCTCCCTTCTTTCCCACTATTACTTAAGAATCCTGGAATTCTAAAATAAAAGGCATTTGGCTTTGATTTACATGTTATTATATGCAAAAGTCTACCATTTTCTTCTGTGTATCAGAAATGTGTAAAGGTATAGAACTGTTAAACTACAAATACAGAGCAGGGAGGGATGCGAAGTTAATGAACTGAACATTAAAAAGAGATGAACCACTAAAAACACTTAGAAATATTTTAGAATCCTTGTCTTCACTCCACTATCCTAATTTACCTCTTTCCTTTTGACCAAGTACCTTTCAGTTAGCATCATGATAATTCTAGATCATCAGGATAAATGAATCCAGAAAAGTAAAAAAGATTGAATTTTCCTGATAGGATCTATTTATTACAAGTCAAGTCACCCCCATAGCTCCCAGGGCTTTATGCAACTGGGTCTCCAGTGGGAACCAGTGAGTATATGTAAAAGTATAGTACTTTACATAAAAGCATATGTAAATTTTTGTGTTGGTGCATTTTTCAAGTAAGAAAGCTGCAGGCTGTAGTTTCTTGTAACGGGCTCTAGTCTCTTCATTATATACTGACAATATAGTAGTGGGAGAAGACAGGCCATACTCTGTTACCCCATGACATTTTCTGCTTCAATCATATTTATTTAGTCTACCCCCACCCCTGTGCCACCTCTGTAGAACTACCTAGCAATTTAACAACTAAACAGCACTATTAAGCAGACGAGCTACAGGAGGCTCTATCTGCTTTACCCTGGACCACTCCTAATCCCCCTAGCTGTGCTGATGTGCAGGAGCCATCCAACCTATGTGTTGATGAAAAAACACACTTAGCCTTAAGGAGGCGTGGGCTACTTCAAAGTAGTATGTCTAGAATTCACTAGCTTCTCATCTCTACCACCTTAATCCAACAAACTGCTAGCATTTGTTGACTATTGTACTGCAATACTGTCTTAACTGGACATTGTTTCTATTCTTGCTCCAGACTCACTCTCATAGTCCATTTTCCAGGTAGCAGCCAGAATAACCTAAAAGGGAGATCATACATCACTCCTCTCATTAAAATCCTCTACTGGCTTTCCATTCTACTTAAAATAAAAGCCAAATGTTTTACAAAACTCTATATAATCTGCCACATGCCCAGCTCACCTTGAATTATTCTCTCCTCTGTCTGCTGTGTCCTTGTTACACTGTTTCTTTTTATGGTCCTTGAACACCCCAAGCTCATTACTGCCTCAAGAACTTTACACTTGCTGTTCCCTCTGCATGAACACACTCTCCCCAGATTTTTAGATGGCTGGCTTATTTTCATCATTCAGTCTCAGCTCAAATATTCTTTGTGAAGCATTCCTATCCCACCACCAGCTCATCACTCTTCAATGTACTAGGGCAACAATTTTTAAGCGTTTTCATCTCATGGCACATATAAACTATTTAATTAATAAAATTCTGTGGCACTCCAAAAAATAGGTATAATTTTGATTCATTCATGCCAGATGGCTATTGTTGTGTTGGGTGTTGTCATTTTTTTTATTTGACAATCTAAGGAAATGAGGGCAGTGCCCCTGACTAAATAGTCAGGTATTGTGTGTTTTAAAAATTCTTGCAGCATGCTGGTTGAAAATCTCTGCACTAGGACAAACACTGTGTTCCAGAATCTAGAAAAGAATCTGACATAGTAAAGGAACTCCATATATATTTGTTGAAAGAAAAAAATTAGCAATAATTTCCTGGACCAAGCAAATATCTGGCCAAGGCATAACAAGTCAGCAAGGTTAACTTATCACCCAACTGGTATCTACTCAATGTACCCCAAAAATGTCAAGGAAAAGACCTTATGCCTGACCTGAAAGAGATTACAATCAGAGGAGACTAGGAGGCAACTGATAGTGGTTTTGAACCAAGAGGTATAAAAGTGTGAGAAGATAAACAGTAGATAAAATTCGTAGTAGGGAATGAGCTTGGTAACAGTGAATGAGCTTGGTGCAGATGTTCTCCCTAAAAGATAGAAACTATTTACTTGGTTGTTCAAAAACTAAACTTGTTCTTGTTTCTATTGGTGGTGACTAATATTCACTTTAATATGTGCAAACTCCTACTTACACTTATCTGTGAACACCTGAGTACTGAATCCATCTCTCTGTCTCTGTATTTTCTGGGCTTAGTACTCTTCATGCACCTCCTAAGTGCTCTTTACATGTTGGCTGGACAGAACTGATTAATCCTCACATCTCACTCATGAGTTCAGTTGGACAAATTTCATATATCCATTTCAAAGATAAATCGCCTAAGGTTCAGAAAGGCTACATTAACTCCTCTAAAATTAGAGATAGTGACAGAGGTGACACATGAATTTGGATCTTGTGACTCCACTACACCAAAGCTTCCAGCAGGTAACAGAGCTTCCAATGTAGTTAGATCTTCAAGCTGGCTCTTCTGATACAGCTGTTACTTCTAACAATCCAATGAAGAGCATCCTTCCCTTTGTTATATAGGAAAGCTAACACCATAAATTACTATCTCGTACACTCATCTAGTGAACTAAAATTCACCCAGTAGAGAACCTAAAATAAAACCTCCTGTTTCAGAGTGAGGTAAATTAATGAGTCCCTATGTGTGTGATTTTAGAGCCGTCAGCATGGCTGTACTGTGTCCTGTACTCTGACTGATGCCTCAAATTCCATTAGTGGAGTTCTATTACGTCATTTTAGAATGGTGCATTTTAGACTAATGCACAGATTAACTCTATAGGTAAGACTATATATTAGGCAAGGATTGTTTTCTTTTTTTAATTCAAGGATACAGGAAGGCAGCTATACTTGTGCCAGCAACAACTATTTATAATTTACATGAATTAGTTTATCCTAACTTTTTCCTAAAAAAGATTTTATGTTTATCTCTCTTCTTCCCTTTCCCTCCCTGTGTCTGTCAGGCCTTAGGTTGTATAGCCAGGACAATTATGTTTTTTTCTTATAAAATTACTTGTGTTTGGCACTTTACAACGGAAAGGGGAGTACATGAAGGAATGGGCGCAGCTAGATCTGAGCTGGAATGTCAACTCAGGCCTCAGAAGTCAGCCCTGAGAAATAGCTATCCCACTGTCAGAGTGGTCCAAAGATGCAGGAAGTATCCTTTAGTGGACAGTATATTCATATTTCAGTCAGACTAACTGCACTTGATATTGAATTTTAAAAATAATCTTTTACTCAGCCATGGCTAGTGTGGCTCAGTGGATTGAGTGCTGGACTGTGACTCAAGAGGTCTTTGGTTCAATTCCCAGTCAGGACACGTGCCGGGTTGCAGGCCAGATGCCCAGTTGGGGGTGTGTGAGAGGCAACCAATAGATGTATCTCTCACATAATGATGTCTCTCTCCCTCTCTATCTCCCTCCCTTTCCCTCTCTCTAAAAATAAATAAATAAAATCTTTAAAAAAAAAAATCTGTTACTGAATAGCTGCCTATTCTCAGGCAAATCATGTAGCTTTTCTAAGCCTCAGCATCATAACACATAAAAGGAGAAAATTATAACATATGATCTTTAAACACCCATTCCGATCTAAATTGTGATTTTAAATTACAATGAAAGACTAAGGACTAAATAAATAGGCCTAAATTTGGATAAGAAAATTTCAAGTTAGAAACAAAGACTTCTAAGGGCTTTCAGAATTAACACTATCGAATGCTAGAACAAGTTCTTGAGGTCTTAAAGAGCAGTTTGATATCAACCTTGGATAGTTCTGTGAAGCTAGATTTAATTGCTTCTAAAAATCTCTCAATTAGGACCTCCAGACTTAGCTACATGAACACTTACCTCTGTCAGCATATACATAGAGAGAAGTGTGATTCCGAGATTGTACAAGGTGAGGATACCCCTGAGGGAAAGAGCAGGTCTGTTCTTCATATATTTGTTACCCAGCCATATTGAAAGCAGATATATGACAGTAAGAAAAAAGGTGGGAAGGTAAGAGTCCAACATGAACCATCCTCTGACTCGAGAATCTGAAAAGAAACACATACAGTGAGAATCCTGAAGAGCAACACTTCTGTTTAGTTATAAGATATTGGCACATATATTTCAGCTGTACATACTAAATACAACAGAGAACAATATGACATGGCATTAAGGAAGCTGTATTTGGGTTGTCATTCAGAAGAAGCCAGTGGGGGCTGCAAAGGCTAAGGAAGTTTTCATGGAGCACACAGGACTTAAGCTGAATACGGAATAACAGAAAAAGTAAAAGTTAATGAAGGTGGGAAGTAACAGTTCCTAAATGTCTGCTTTGGAATAGTTACAACCTTTATTTACTCTAATTCAGTAAATATGAAGTATGGTATGTCATTTTATGGATTAATAGACAGCTCAGAAAGCTTTAGTAACTTGCAAAAAGCTGTACAGGAGTTGGCAGCAGAGTACATACATATCTGACTCCTAGCCATTTCGTAACTACAGCTCATCAGCATAAAATAATTATCATTTAATAATTTGTTATTATGGCTACTATACTATTATGACTAACATTTCTGAGTGTTAATTCTGTGTCACACACTGTTCTAAAGCCTTTTACATGTATTAACTTATTTAACTCTCAAAGCAACTTCTTATGTAGTTGATATTATTTTTAATAACTTTATTGAGATATAACAGATACACTGAATTCTGTACTTAGTTACTGTGTACAATTTGATGAGTTTGGACATATATGCAAACATATATGCCATCACCACAGTCATGGTAAGAGACGTATAGGTGGATATTGTTATTCCAAGTTTACATTTGAGAAAAATTGAGCTACAGAATGTAAAAAGTTAAATAACTTGCATTATACTGCTACCCTACTTCTTGTTATGGTATTATGGGTTGAAATGTAACCCCCAAAAAGATATGTTCAAGTCCTAACTCCTGTTATCTGTGATTATGAACTTATTTGGAAATTAGGGTCTTTGCAGATGTAATCAAATTAAGATGAGGTCATACTAGATTAGGATGGGCCCTGACCAGTGATTGGTGTCTTTGTAAGAAAAGGAGATTTGGATTCAGGGACACAAAGAGAACACTATGGAAAGATGGAGGCAGAGACTGAAGTGATGCACCCACAGGCCAAGGAATGCCAAAGACTGCTGGCAACCATCAGAAGTTAGGAGAGAGACTCGGAACATATTCTTTCCTAGAACTTCAGAGGGAATATGGCCTTGCCAACACCTTGATTTCAAACTTGTAGCCTTTAGAACTGTGAGAGAATAAATTGCTGCTGTTTTAAGCCATGCAGTTTGTGGTATTTTGTTACTGCAACCCTAGGAAACTCACATACATGGTTTATTTGATAGCTTTCCAATTGTTTCAGATGTGCCAGTTTTACCTTCTCAACTACAGAAATGCTCCATGAGACAGACACTAGGTCTTATATTTCTACTCTGTCTCAGTCATAACTTATATCCATCTAGTGCTGAGTTGAAAGCAAACAGTTATTAAATATATATTAATCGACACATCGAGTCAATCATATATTGCAAAACAAACATAGCACCTGAAGTTTTTGTTTTCTTATGTCATGGTCCTATAAATACTTGCTCCAATTGTTACAGAGGATCATGACTGATCCAACCAAAAGATGAGAATACTTGTAAAAACATTATTATCTTTGGGAATTTAGAAGTGTTAGCTCTGAATCTGTGTCAGGTATTTGCCCACGACAACATCCCTTAATGGTACTAATATGATGTATGTAAAGTCAGAGAAGATCTGGGGACACCTAGAAGCTTACCAGGTGTCTGCCAGTCAACTTAAGCTTGTGCCACTTTAAGAAGGTGACAAGGATTCATGATGGCCTAGATGCCACTGTGGAGGTCAACTGATCCAGTTGTCAAATGCCAATCTTACAGTCTCTTTGTATTGGGGTGCAGAACGAGGTCCGCCTGAAAACCTCCAGAAACCTTAACTGGGGGATGATATGGCCATTTAAGATACTTTGCATTACAATGGCAAGTTGATAGCTGTGTCCTTCCTAAAGGGAAGTGAACTGCTGCCCAGAGCAAAAGGAGTACTGTCTCAGAGAGTATATTGTGGCTTGTGACATAGCCAGGGGACATAAATGCCCACCCCAGATGTCTGTGTGTCATGGTGAACTCTTGCCCTGACTAAAGATAGCAGTTGAAAGAAAGTAAAAGATACGGGGGAAATGGCAAATGTAGCATGTCATAGGAGGGGCCAGATGAGGTCACAGAGGAAGTTCTGGGCAAAGCATTTCAAATAAGGCAGGCTGAAGAGAATGGAATTCCGCCATGAGGACCAAAAGAGGGGAGAGGCAGCCATGCGGGCTGTAGGGGGATTCAATCATGAGGTCTGAGAGAGGGAGCAGCAAGCAGCTATGCAGGTGGTAGGGAAGTGGTCCGCCATGAGGGCTGGTGTGTAAGGTAGAAGCCATGCCAGCTGTGAGTCAGGATTCCTCCATGCGGCCTGGGGTAGTGAGGAAGGAAGCCATGTGGACAGAGGTAAGGGTGCAAGGAGAAAGCTGATGGAATTGTGTGGGAACCTGCCAAACCAAGCATGGATTCACGGGAGATGTTTTGGAACTGAACTGAGACCAGGAATGTAGACTTCTGCTTCTCTGAAGGACGTACAGAGAAGCCACTCTCTTGGGACATGTGCCTCCCTGAACTCTACCATGATCCAGTGTAACACAGCACATGTTTCCTGGACTACTACCTGGAGGCTGAGGACGACATACCCCATATGCTGAAGGAGAGGGCTTCTGCGAGAGGATGGTGATTCTGAAACCCATGAGTGTACCTTCTAGAGGGGATGGAGGGCTGTTTGTGCAGCTGGCTTAAAAACTGATAAGGATATGGGAACTTCTGGGAATGGTTCTGTCTTATAGCCTGGTGGTGAGCCAGGGAAGTGCTGGGTCTCCTGTGAGAAGAGGTCTCCAAGCAGGAGTGCTCCCAGTCCCTGCCCCCCAGGTTGGAATCCTGTAAATAAAAACCTGTTTCTTTTAACACTAATTGTTGGGTCATGTATCAAGGTGACACATGGACACACCCCAGTTTGCTCAGTTACATCTTTGCCACAAATGAAACTTCCATTAAAATGACCAAAGGTAGGTAAACAACTATAATCCTATCCTTAACTGATCCCATATCTACGTGATTCCAGGTCACGATGATCTTACTGATGGCAAAGTTCAGTGTGAAGTTGGCTCAGAGAGACTGTTATTTAACTCTCTAGTGGAAGTGTCAGAAAGCCACAGTCACTAAGAAACCCTGCGCGCTTAAGTTAGAGTGTCATGCCCTCTATACTACTCACTAGAACTGTAAGGCATATTAAGTAAAGTAGGTTATAGGTATCCCACCCTGCCTATCCCACAGGATCATCACAAGGATAAAATGAAAAAAAAAAACAAAACAAAAACAACAAATAAAACCAAAGATGATGTGGAAGTATTTCTAAGAAGTGCTATACAGGGTATCATTTTATTAAAATTATATATAGTCATTTGCTTAGAATAGAAACTGGAGAATGGTCTAAATAATCTCTAAGTAATTCTGTTTAAATATTTTAAGAAACAAAAAAAAAAACTTCCTCATATCCCACGCCACCCCCAAAAATGCTGAGGTAATAATTTGTAGATTTTTCACAGCTTTGTGACACAGAAATGCTCAAGAGAAACAAAACATGTTATTTAGAGTTTATTCATTTATTTGCAAAATACATAGTGCTTAATATGTTCCTGAAACTGTAATAAGCCCTGGAGAGAACAGTCATGGCTCCTGTTCTCATCAGAGAAAGAGGGGCAAATTCCCTGAAATCTTTGTTACGGAAAAGGTAACACTTAAGCTGATACCTGAAGTATGAGAACAGGCTCACTATATTGGGAGATGGCATAGGAGATAGCAGGCAGAAATTCTAGGCTCAAGGAATAGCATATGGAAGAATTTTATATATTTGAGGAGGAAAAAGACGTCAAAGTGAGTGGGGAAGAGTGGCACTGCCTGTTGGAGAAGCAGCTGGGGCTAGATAATACACAGGTATGTAGCCCATGCTAAGAAATTTGGTTTTTATCTGAAGGACATTAAGTATTAAGCTAGGGTATCACATATTATGACTTAGGCTTTCAAAGTATTATTCCAGCTGATACTTAATAAAAGATTGTAGGAAGCGAGACAAGTTAGGATAACTTATAACCACGTAGTGCTGAGTTGAGAGGGAAGAGTTATTAAATATACATCAACTGGCACGTTGAGACAACTGGCACATTGCAGGGACTGGTGATGGACGAATGACTGAGACTCAGAATGACTAAGACTCAGAATGACTGAGAGTTTAGAAACTCAATCTAACAGACCTGGGAAGAGAAAGGTCACACATCTTTAAAGAGAATTTCTCAAGATCATGTCAAGGCAGAAAGATTATATATGACTGTGCATGAGAGGAGGGTATAAGTTGAAATGGTCAGTGGAGAGAGGAGAGAAGTAGCTTAAGTATAGAAGGAAAGCTACAGCCTGCTTTGGTAGCCAGTTTTTGGTAGCTTTGGTAGCCAGTGAAACACCAAAGGAAAGTATTGCACTGCATTCTATTCCTGCTTTCTGCTCCCAGAACTTTTAATCCCAGGAGAGGCTGAGCAGGAGAAATGAGGCCTTCTAGTTGCTGGAAGAAGGATAAAAAGAGTGAAGGAAGTTAAGTCTCTAAATGTTAAGAATCCATGCTATTTTCTAAATGTTAAGACACCAGAAGTGACATAATTCTCTCCTATAAAAAAATACTGTGTTCCTTCCACATTAAGTTCTTAAGTAGTTCACCCACCTCGAGGTCCAAACATATTGTCCAAAAAAACATTGATTTCATCATCAAAAGCCTTTAGATGCTCCTGAAAAGATAGAGAAAAAATGATTAAAGGGGTTTTGGGGGAAATTCTCAAAACAAAACACTATCAACAATGTGCAGTTGAGAGAATCTCCAAGGGTCCTAGGTTCAAGAACTTTTGACTGCAAAGAGAACCAGTAAATGTAGCCTCATTTCTCACAAGCTTCTAAAGATTTGGAAGCAAACAATCCCTCTTTCATTTCCTTAGCCAAGAGGAGTTCAGAAAAACAGTGCTGGTACATTTAAATATCAAAGGGTTATTGACCTTATTTCCATTTCCTTTTAAAATACTTAGAGGTATAAGCATTTCCATAAGTAACTTCTATTGTTGCAGTTAACAGAAGTGTGCAAGCAACAGGGAAGTCTATAATTACAGGATGTAATGTAATTATTAAATTAATATACAGATGAATTGCATTTCACTTAGCTAAATCTAAAGCTTTACTGAAAATGGAAGTGCCTTTTGATCCAGGGATTCCCCTGCTGGGACTATACCCTAAGAACACCAAAACGCCAATACAAAAGAACCTATGCACCCCAATGTTCATAGCAGCACAATTTACAATAGCCAAGTGTTGGAAGCAACCTAAATGCCCATCAGTAGATGACTGGATAAAAAAATTATGGTACATATACACAATGGAATACTACGCAGCAGAAAGAAAAAAAGAACTACTAAACTTCGCGACAGCATGGATGAAACTGGAGAGCATCATGCTAAGCGAAATAAGCCAGGGGGAGAAAGACAAATACCATATGATCTCACCTATAAGCGGAACCTAACCAACAATGCAAAGATGCAAGGAAAATATGACCAGCAACACTGAAATGAAAAGAAATCAACAGAGACAAGAGGGAAGGGGGCAGGCAGGGAAAGGGAAGGGAAGGGGAAAGTCAAGGAACATATAGCAAGGACTCATGGACAAAACCAAAGGGGAAGAGCTGAGGGAGGGAAGGAGGGAGGGGGCAAGGGAAAGTGGTGGGGGGGGAGGCAGAGACAAATGTATTTAAAAAGTAAATAAATTTAAAAAAAGAAAAAAAGAAAAAAAAACTGTAAAAGTAGGGGAATGCTTCAATGCCAATAGATGAAAGAAAAAATAAAAATGTAATGGATCTAAAAAAAAAATAAAGCTTTAAAGGGGACTTGTTTTTCAATAAAGGAAATTAAGCATTATAGATATTTTCCATTACCTTTATATTGTTTGTTTCCAAAACTTTTTAATACACTAACACCTATTTAATAGAGTAAACAGCATCACTAGGGTACATCAGATTAATTACTGTCACTTTAATTGAATTCAGATTGGGACTGGAGAATTTCTGCTAAGAATCTTAAGGTTGATAAGCTGGTTTATAGCTCTTGATTTAGCTCCCATTCATGCTTGTCTGCTATTATAGTGCTTAAAATACCCACTAAGGTGTCCCTACCCCTCTAGAAAGGTCTAAAACACATCCTCAAGCAAAGTGAAGAAGAAACAGAGCACTCCCCAGTGTCCCTAGGAAAGGGATCTTTAATGAGGATTTGGGGCCAATGGTCTGGTTCCTGCCTAGACGTGAGCTGAGTATGGCTCTCAGAAGTTCATATAGAATGTTCTCTACAATCAATAGTTGGAGTTCAGTCAAAAGCATCTCATTCTCAAAGAAAACGTTAAGTGCCAAAGAGAATTAATTGACTGGCATCTGAAGAGAAGGTCTACATGTTTGGTGATTGGCACACACCATTTGGACCTATTACTTATTGGTGACTTGGATCCTGAGAGAAATTTCAAGGAAATTTAGGTCTTTGGAAACTTTAGGAAAGAGGATAAGGATTAGAGACTAACACTTAGTACCTACCACTGCTGTCCAGTATATTGGGAACTTTATTTACTATTTCACAATGGTGCTATAAAAGGTATCTGGGATAAACAAAGCTTGGAAGTTCTTAAACAGTGTTTTTTAATCTTTGGTTTCTATGAAGGGCATCCCAGGAGACGTCCAGACTTGAGAAAGGTCAGTTACCTAACATCTCAGTGTGGCAGATTGTGATTTTTGTTGCCATTAGAATAGGGCAGATCTGTCTAGATCTCTCATTTTTGAATAAAATATGTTAACACCACTGATGTACCGACCCTCAAAACAAAAGCCAATGAAATCTTTCATTGCCGCACACCACCCCCACACAAATGTTTAAACTTTTTCAGTTCATTTGCTGAGGTTCGAAATCCATTCTCCAAGATTTATAGATCTAAAAACACTCTGATTAAGGGTTACAGAGATTGTATTTTTTTCTATAATCTTGCAAAAATGTAGTTACAGTGGAAGAAGAACAGAAACAAAAGTAAAGTAAATAAAGGGAAAACAAAAAGAGAGGGCAGAGAATGAAAGAAATGAATGAGAAGGGACATTCCATTATTTTAGTAATTAATTTATTGGTTCATTGACCAATTATCTAAATATTACTATATGGCAGAGCCAAGTTAGATGATGAAACACTAAGTCAAATGAAACACATCCTTATCTTCACATAGGATAATAGAGAAGTAAATCAATAATTATATAGTATCTTAAATATGATGAGGAATGTGTTATAAGAAAACAGAGGAAGGAAATATCATTTAGCCATTAAAAAAAGAGGAAATCTTGCCATTTTCAACATGAGTAAATCTTGAGGACATTATGCTAAGTGAATAAATAAATCAGAGAAAAACAAGTGCCATATGATCTTATTTATATATGGAATAACAAAATTTTTTAAAAAGGCAAACTAACTCAGAAAACTGGCTGCAGAAAACTGGTTGGTAGTTACCAGAGGTGGAGGGTAGGGGTGGGCATAATGGGTGAAGGTGGACTCAAAATACAAACTCCTAGTTGCAAAATAAATAAGTCATGAAGACATACAGTAGGGTGACAATAGATAATATTGCATGGTATATTTAAAGTTGCTAAGAGTATATCTTAGAAGTTCTCATCACACATAGAAAAAAATTATAAATATGTATATAACTAGATGTATTGTGGTGGTCATCTTGCAATGTGTAAAAATATCAAATCATTATGTGGTACATGTGAAATAAAGAAAAAGAACACAGAGGTAGGAAATTTAATTTATATCTCTTAAAAAGAGAAGCCTTCCAGGAAGAACTGCTGCTGTCACTGAGTTTTGAAAGAATAAAGGCAGACAGAGAACAAAAGAAAGCATTTGAGGGAGAATATCAGCATATGCAAATACACTGAGACATGACTTGGGAAACGTTTATGGACAGGGTCACTAGTGACCTATATGACAGAAATAAAGCCAATGTTAAGACAATCAGAAATCTGAAAAAAATTAGTTCTTTATTTTTAGGTTATTTAATACAGTTAGTAAGGATATAATGTAAAAAGACAATGATGAAATGAGATCAGAAGATGAAAACTTACCCTGGATTAGTAAAATATAAGTACAGAGTTTGGGTAAGGTTAGTCAACTAAGGATAAATGCTTAATGAAAGGTGATAGAGAAGAGCTTGGGTAATCAGTTACAGTTGTACACTGGGTTGTATATGTGCAAACGCAGAAGTATACTGGACAATTTCTCAAGACTAATACCATAACATTGGAGCTAAGGAAAACCAATGAACGACCTGCAGTACTTCATTCAACCAGCATTTTGAACAGCTATTTTGTACACAGTACTTTGCTGGACATATGAAGAAAAAAAGGGATGCAGTGGTTGACTCAAAAGCTTACAGACAAATTGGGAAAGTGATAAATACAAACAAAGGTCAAGAGAAAATAACTGAGAAGAAAGAAATACAAAGAAATGCCACAATGATGGAAGTCATACAGTAGGAGTGATGACGTAAGACAAGTTTTTAAGACAGTTAAGATAGTTAGAATTTGGACAGATTAGAAGAGAGGGGAGCAGTACTGCCCTTAGACCTGGGCAAGACCTGAATCCATACTTTGAGGGCCCCACTCTGGCCACCCTTCGGCCATACCCATCCTCACAGGGAAAAAACTCCTGTGAGCCAAGAGATACGCCTGCCTACGGCCACTCCACTCCACTCCAGACTATATTCCAAGTACCCCAGGCCGAAGAATTCTCTGCCAAACAATTCTCCAAGCCCACTTCTAGAAAAAATTAAGAGATTTCTCCTTGCCCACTTAGTAAAGTCCATGTTTCATGACTGAATTTAATTTGTGACTGTCTACAACAAGAGGTGAAGGATGGAAATACTGGAAGCAAGTTGGGCCTTATTTAGTTGTGTATCCCTGAATGTCTACTGCATCTGGTGATAATGTAAAATGTACAACCACACTGGAAAAGTTTAGCAGTTTAGTAAAAACAAACATTCAACTAGGATCTAGCATGCCACTTCTGGGTATTTATCAAAGAGAAAATAAAGCTTTTACCCATGCAAAGACTTGTACACAAATATGCATGCAGCTTTGTGTATAATAGCTAAAAATGGAAACCTCCCAATTACCCATTAATAGGTGAATGGATAGCCCTGAGCAGTATGGCTTAGTTGGTTGCGTGTTGTCCTACAAAGCCAAAGGTTGATGGTTTGATTCCCTGTCAAGACATGTGCCTACATTGAGGGTTCAGTCCCAGGGTGCATACAGGAGGCAACTGACTGATGTTTCTCTCCCTCTCTTTCTCCCTCCCTTCCCTTCTATCTCTAAAAAAAAGGTGAATGGATATAAACAAGTTGTTGTACAGCCATACAATGAAATACTACTCAGCAATATAAAGGAGTGAACTATATATGCACATGAATGAATGTCAAAATTATCATGCTGCAATAAAGAAGCTGAACAGCAAAAAAAGGAATACATATCATGTTTCCATTTACATGAAATTCTAGAAAATGTAAACTTGTCTATGACAGAAAGCAAATCATGGTCACTTGAGGTCTTCAGGGGAGGGGAACAGAATATCCTTCAAAATGAGGATGAAATAAGTGTATCTTCATATATGTATAATGAAAGGATTTGTAGCTAGCAGAACTGCACTACAAAGTATGATAAAGATGTTCT